TACTTCCTTATAAGTATCACGTATGGAACTCAGCAAAATAATAGCCTTATATGTATCAGATACTAACTCTTTACAGTTAACAATATCTTGAACAAGTTTGTTAAACACATCTAAATTTTCATTGAGATCTTTTGAAGAATCTATTTTGAAACTGAGAAAATGCTCAAATAGTAAAACTCGTTTGGAGTAGATTTGAACAAATACAAGTCTTCCAATTTTTTTCGAAATTCTTTAGTGGTTTTCAGTTTACCCCTTTTTTCAAAATTGCATCAACCAAGTGTAAAATAATTTAAGTATAAGCAAGTTCATCAACTTCTTCTTTTTGTTCTTTTGAAAGATTAGTGGGAAAGTTGTCATCAATGGCTTGTGAAACATTTTGTTGAATCAAAATACCTCCCATTTTTTGTTGTCAGATTGAAAAGTCACATTTTCCGTTAAAAGTTCCCTAATCAAAATTTTGTGTTGTTATTTTTAATAATCAATAAAAAATACAAGATCACAATTAAGCCACACAAAGTAGACCTAGGGTCGAAAATATAAACCGTTTTAGATTTCCAGGATTTCGTAAAATTCTCGATCTTGGATCGATGGAATGTTCAAACATGTAAGATCTATGTATTCTAATAATCAAATAGTGCAACAAAAGATATGTCATCCAAACAATTTCACTCACGATATATCGAAAAGATAATACGCTGATATTTATCAAATAAACAATTTTAAACACGTAGCAACCAAGAGCAAGTAGTTCCTAGTTTCTAACACAGGCAATGGTTACCCTATACGGTAACCCCAATCCTATTGTCACCCCCACACGATGACGTGCTAGTGTTGAAATTAAACAGGATTAGCCAATTTATCAGATCGGACCTATCTGAATCTGTAAATCTTGAGAAATATAATTTTACACTTGCGGGCCACCACTATTCACCCTAAAGTCTGCAGCAACCGATCGAATGCAAAATTGAATCCCGAATGCACAGGCATAAAATCGTCCAGATTTCACCATATCACCTGAGACAGAAAACTAACACCACAAACACGTTAGAAATTTTGTTAGGATAAAACTACCTGAAGAAAGTTTCCTCAGACCACGCCGAACTCCCCTCCAATGGTAATGGGGCAGTATATATAGGTGTTTTAGGTGGGCTTTAGGGTAAATAGTAATTA